AACATGAAAATTGTGATTATACATGTATCAAACATTGGAGCTTTAAAAACCATGCAATTTAACGAATCATTAAGACATGTACAAAAATGTTTTTTTTTTAAATACGTAGGTACATGTATAATACGCGAATTTAATAACAATAGAGTTCAGACATCACAACTTCAATCTTAATTCACATTTTTATTTGGATCACACGACTGTAACACGATATTGACAAATCCTAAACATTTTGATAAGTTATTTATAAATCTACAAAATCGTTGTTTGGGGGATAAAAAAGGTTTACACAATCTGTGTAAATGGGTTTTTATGTTATGTTTATATATTTTAATACGTTTAAAAGAAATCTAATGCCTTGACAATTTTACAATAAAAAAAGGCAAGTAAAACAAGATAAAGTTGGGAATTGGGGACATATATATTCACAATTGACTATCTGCAGTGCCAAGTGAGATCTCCAGCTGGTTGAAGACAATATATGTGGTGTCCAGGATGGAACTGAAAAAAGAGTTCCACTACGAACATCAGGAATATATGTGGGTGTCGAGAATCAGAATTTCGCTTTCTACTTCAGTACTGAGAGAGAGAGAGAGAGAGAGACACACACACATATATATATATATAAATATAAGAACACCGACACATTATATAATTAGTTCATGAACTACACTGTTGAGAAGAGAGAGAGAGAGAAATCTCAAGGTACCTTGATGTAAAAAAAATAATGACCACTTTTGTAGCTCTAATGTCGAGAATCAGAATTTCGCTTTCTACTTCAGTACTGAGAGAGAGAGAGAGAGACACACACATATATATATATATATATATAAATATAAGAACACCGACACATTATATAATTAGTTCATGAACTACACTGTTGAGAAGAGAGAGAGAGAGAGAAATCTCAAGGTACCTTGATGTAAAAAAAATAATGACCACTTTTGTAGCTCTAAGAAAACAGGAACGGGCACATTTAGACTGGATCAGTTTTACAACAAACTACCACGAAATCAATTTACAACCGATCAATTTGGTTCGACTCAGTTTCAACAAAAATCAATGAGGAAACCAGTTCCAAATTTCTTCTAAAATTTGTTTATCCAATTAACAAGAAAATGCAATCATAACTTGTTGCATATTTTTCATTTTCTAACACATTAAACCATCTCAAAATCAAACATATCGGCAAATTTCAAAATTCATTGAACTAATTAATATAGTTGCAACCTGAATATCAGTAACTTCATACTTCCACCAAACTTCAAATTTTCATCCTCATTTAATTATTTACACGTGTAAAATAAAAATAATACAAAATAAATACAACCCCCGTCGGTCCAATTCGATATTATTTTCTTGTCCAACCGCCCAATTCGATTTATTGTTGACCACAACTTAAAGCTCAAAACCAAAACCGAACAATTTAGACAGTTTGACTTTTGTCCAAGTCCAAATCACTCAACAACTTCATCTTCACCGACTGACCTCCCGAACCAATCAAACTTTAATGATCAAAGAAAAAGACAAGCTGTGCCATTTGATTTTGCTCAAATTTAGAGAGACATGATGATCTTCTTTTTTTTTAATTTTGGTCGAAACATGATGATCTCTTATACATTTTTCTCCCAAACGTGACGATAACTAGCTAGAGAAGAATACTTCCAATAGTGATGATAATATTTTATTTAGTTTCTTTTATCTTGTTCACTTCGTAATTAAATTTTAAATGGAGTAAGTGTTAGAGTTCAAGTTCAATGTCATTCAAACTATTAATTACCTCAACACATTCTGTTTTAGCATTGTAATATATATATACACCCCGATTGTAAAAACAGAAGAGAAAAAACAAGAAAACACAAAGAGAAGAGTTTGCAATCATTTTAGTGTTGATGAGATCATTAGATCTTAACATAATTACAACTAAAAAAACTAACTAATGATATCCTCGACATTGCGGCATTGTCAAGTAATTATGTCGACATATTGGTGTAAAGATATGAATATTTGTTCAACCACAGCGACTAGCAACGTCTATGCATCTAGTACCAAGTTATTGCAGTTTAAAAAAGTGAGGAAAATTATTAAGAAAGAGAAGTAATTGTAAAATTTATGGACAAGCAACATCACTAGGCTTTTATGGAGAATTCATAATTTTGATAATTGAGATTAATAATCAATAGTTTGTAAAATAAAATTTTACAAAAAGTTAGAAAAAAAAAAGGCATTCTATATATGTAATTTTTTTTTTATTAGAGTCGGAACTGCTCTATTTTAAAATGAGAGAGAAGAGTTTGAACCTAGAACGTAATGAGTTGAAAAAGAAGGTCCCAACCCCAAAAGACAATCTATAGATTTCATGAACAACTCAAAACTAATTCTCATAAGTAATTACGAGGAAAACAAAAATTTGAAGTGAATTTTAAAGTTTATAAGAAAAGAAATTGGCTGTCCACAAATTGAAGATCCCAACCGATGTCACAAATAGAAGAAAAACAATTTTATTGGACATATGAGATGTAATTAGGGTTCTATATAAACATCACACTGTTACGATATATGAAGCAACTTTAGCCGTGAGATGCAATCGAAACAAGCATGCAGGAATGCATGGGTCTCTCTGCTGCTATCTAGCTGGGAAATGACATGCAATAATTTAAATAACAAACGTACAGAAGAAGGAATTTGAATTACTTACCCGGAAAGGTCATGATTTCAGCCAGCCCATGTGAATATCTGAGCACAAAAGTTGAACACCGCATAGCATATATAGTAAGCAAGCTTTTTTAGGTTGCATGCATTATTTCTACTTATATAGTTGTAGAAACGATGGATCATCCACATGTTCATTGGGCATGGGGCACGTACCCGTTTATTTGTTGTTGAAGCTTTATGGTATGGTGAACTTTCAAATAATGACTTGGGTACTGCATCTCTAATTTAGACGTAGGATCTAATATAGAAGTGAATATCACGTCTATTAGCAGTGTCGGTTTTGAGATATCGGAGGCTCAAAGTAAAATTTGAAAAAGTGAACAACTTCACACACGAGAATTGTAACATCCCACATCGTCTAGGAGAGTGGATCCTCTAAGCCTTATATGTATATTCTCATCTCTACCTAGAACGAGGCATTTTGAGAGCTCACTGGCTTCGAGTTCCATCGGAACTCCGAAGTTAAGCGAGTTTGCACGAGAGCAATCTCATGATGGGTGACCCACTGAGAAGTTCTCGTGTGAGTTCCTAGAAACAAAACCGTGAGGGCATGGTCGGGGCCCAAAGCAGACAATATCGTGCTACGGTGGAGTCGAGCCCGGGATGTGATGGGGGTCCGGGCCGGGATGTGACAATTTGGTATCAGAGTCAATCCCTGGCCGGAAGTGTGCCAACAAAGACGTCGGGCCCCTAATGAAGGGTGGATTGTAACATCTCACATCGCCCAAGGAAGTGGATCCTCTAAGCCCTATATGTATATTCTCATCTCTACCTAGCACGAGGCATTTTGAGAGTTCGCTGGCTTCGAGTTCCATAGGAACTCCGAAGTTAAGTGAGTTCACGCGAGAGCAATCCCATGATGGGTGATTCACTGGGAAGTTCTCATGTGAGTTTTCAGAAACAAAATCGTGAGAGCGTGATCGGGGCCCAAAGCAGACAATATCGTGCTACGGTGGAGTCGAGCCCGAAATGTGGTGGGGGCCTGGGGCGGGATGTGACAAGAATGATTTGTTTCATAATTTGTGTATGTGAATATTGCAAAATTAGACATTTTCATGGGACCTGGCAAACAAATTGTTTCATATTTTAAAATTTATTATTTTCATATATATATATTAATTAATAAAACCCTCTTTGTCAATAAAAAGAGGGTGAAAAGATTACTTAGTCTTCTATCATACAAAAAAAATAATGGGCAATAATGTAATTTTACAGGTCCAAATACTACGGTTTTTTATTGAAGCCTCACCTACCGACGATGTTAAAATACCTCCAATATTAAAAAAAAAAAACCTAGAACAACAACCTCCCACTCCCCCTCCCCTGCGTTCTCTCTCTCTCCCTCTGTCCTTCTCATTTTCTAAAAAAATGTGTTCATACACACAAAGTGTGTAAGCAATAAATGAAAACCAAAACCGGGTAAATCTCTATTTTTTATTTTTATCAGAGATAAATCTTCTTATACCTATATTGGTACAAATATTTCAGTGACCAAACAGAAAATGTACAAGTCCAACATGATTGTTGGTATTGTATGATTGTGATGAGTCCAACCCAAATAAAGAATCAAATAGGCCTGCATTGTTTTGGGTAGCATTCAGCAAACCGAATCCGGATCCTCTTTATAAGGATTTCGGAGATCTGTGAATCACGTTCATTCATCGTACATCGGACGATCATAAATTATTTTAATTTAAAATTAAACACAAATAGTACCTGATAAAAACTAACCACATGATGTACGATGAACGGACACGATTCATGAATCTCCTGGATTATCACAAAGAGGATCCGGAGAGGATCTTGTTGGCAGCAAACCATTTCGGGTGGACGAGTCGGGTAATGCTAAAGAGACTAAATGCATAGACTAAATTTTGTAAATTAAATAACATAGAAACTGATGATTGAACTATTACTTAAGTGTGATTAGCGTGCTTATTCATATTTGTGACATATAATTTATTTTGTAAATCTAGTCTACAAATTTGGAGCAATTTGCTCACCTCCATAAACTATAATGTATGTTTACCATGCATTTAATAATATACCACGTGTACTTTCAATTAACTTAGGTTTTTTTTTTCTTTGAACACCTTGGTTAATTATTTTCAAAATTGAAAATGTAAAAGTAATTTCATGTAAAAATTAACTAGAATTAAATTAAAAAATCATAATTATAATGGTGAGCAAAAATATTCTCTACGAATTTAATGTACCTAGAGTTATCCTTTTGTGTTTCACTTGCGGATAAGCTTTCCACAAACGTTAACCATTTCCTCCCACTTTTCGAATCAAGACAAAGACCCTAAAAAAATAAAAAAAACCATACTGCTCGAGTGTCAAAATATCCAACATAAGAAAACCACCATTTTCTGACCCATCATCCAAAAACTCTCACTTCCTCCGAATCAAAAGTCGTATGTTTTCTTCTTCTTCTTTGTAATAGTTGATACTGTAACAGAGAAAATAGGAGTAAGATGTCTGTTTTGGCAGCCAATTCTCACGTTCTGTGTAGCAGAGAAGTCCATCACAGAGAGCAACGGCCACAGTTCTGGAGCAACGGCGGCGGTTTCTTGCTGTTGCCAAAAGCTTCTGGATTAGGGTTTTTGAACAGAAACAGAGATGGGAACAGGACGTTGAAGATGGACTTGAAAGTTGAGGCCTTTTGGGGCACGGATACCTCGAGACCCACTGTTGTGGAGATGGAAGCAATCAACGACTGTGATCAGCTTGACCAGATTCTCAGCCAGGCACAGGAGAGATCCCAGCCCGTTGTCATTGATTGGTCTCTCTCTCTCTCTCTCTCTCTCTCTCTCTCTCTATGAATTGATGCATGCTAGGCCACTTAAATGTGTTCACATTATTTATCTTATCTCTTAGAAATAAATACGGTTTATTTTCTAGTGGAAGCCTGTTTTAGACTCGCTGAGCGCATCTAAATGGCAGAAGAGCTTATACGACAGGATGACACGAGTATATTGTCATCGCATTTCATGCTATTGTTGTTGATACAATCATACAAAGATATATAAATTTTTGTTCACATAATGTTGTATCGTAGGCACAAAACTAATAAAAATAGTACCGTTACATGTAAATTGCTCTCTTGAACAAGGCTAGCTTGCATATGATAAGCAAACTACAAAATTAACTGTTGAGGCAAAGGTTCATATACCAGTTTCACTTTGACTTGTTTTGAGGAAGTCTAAATAGCATTCCTCATTTTGTCATCCACAGAAATGGAAATTCAAATATAAGGTTTCTTGCAATAGGAAGAGGAATACGATTAGATTAAGAGTTAGTAAGTTAAGTAAACCGAAATTTAAAGTAAATTATCTCTTACCACTAAATTTGGTGACTTGAACATAGTTTTCCCTCTACCAATTGACAGGATGGCATCTTGGTGCCGCAAATGCATATATTTGAAGCCTAAATTGGAGAAGTTGGCTGCTGAATATGACACCAAGTAACTCTCTCTCTCTCTCTCTCTCTCTCTCTCTCTCTCTCTCTCTCAACAAAAATAAGACTTGCCATGTTATCAACTAACTGTGAAACCTTTTTATGTACATAAACACAACAGGATCAAATTCTACTATGTTGATGTCAACAAAGTACCTCAAGCTCTAGTGAAGCGGGGAAACATCTCTGTATGTCTATCTGCATTTTGAAAGAGACTTTCTTATTACACTCCTGATACGCCACTGTGATCTCTCAAACCAATAATGCAATGTCATATGAGAACATTAACACAAATGACTATTACGTTATTCATAGAGATACCACTGTCACGTATCGGGGAGGTGTAAACCCATCCTTTCCATAAACTTTTACCCTCATTATTTACCGTAACATTAATTTTTTTTTCTCGTTTCGTTTTTTCAGAAAATGCCAACAATTCAGGTGAGAGTTTCCCTTTTGCAGTTAACAATTTCTGGTTGTGATAAACAACATTGCTAAACTGTTCTAAATGCATTTGATAAATGTATTTGCAGGTATGGAAAGATGGAGAGTTTAAAGCCGAAGTGATTGGGGGACATAAAGCATGGCTTGTGCTTGAAGAAGTGAGAGAAATGCTCCAAAACTTTGTGTGATAATTCGATTTTCTGATCGCTCAGTTTCCTCTCAATTTTTCTTTTCCGGTAGGCCACAATACTTGCATGTATGTATTCATCACGATATATAATGAAAGAGCAATCTGTACAGTCAAATTTATTTCTCTTCTCAGTGTTGTTTCTTAAGATGTTTGTAATGATGAACTCCGTTTTCGAGCTCGATTTTCCGTTCTTCCGAGGCCTCACCGGACGGAAAATCCTGCGTTCGAGATGAAATATGCCGGAACTCGGCCTCAGCTCCAGATCTTGCTGGATTGTGCAAGGTTGTTTCATACAATGAGGTCGTTTCCAAAGAATGGCCTCCTTGGTAAAATAACTTTGCAAAAATCTATGCAATTAGCATGAGAAAATAGAATAGGTTTTGGCGGATTTCACCAAACTTTCTACTTATAATCAAAACCGTTTGTATTATATTTCACTCGATTATAATTAAAATCGTTTAGTCAATTAACTGTAACAACTAAATAATTCTTCATCGCTTCAGCTAGGATATAACACGATTCCTCTTTACGACATTAAAATCACAGGATGACTGAAACCCCAAAGATAATTTGCGGACAGATCCAGAACGGGTAAAGCATAACAGCAACAGAAAGGCTAAGTTTCGCTCATCCGGCGGGGAACGGAGCACAGCTTGCTGGAGGCAAACATCGTATCAAATACAGATGGAGAAGATTCAAGGAGCTGTTTAGTTTCTTCAGACTGCAGGGTTCCTCACTCTCCACCTCTACAAGGAAGTACACTCGATTGTTTTAGCGAAACGAATCAATGTCAAAAGACTTCACCTAACTGCGACCTCTGCAACTATTTATACATCCCCTAATCTTCACTCGCATTTCACTACACTTTATCATGCATAACCAGTCTCTCCTGCGGAGCAACCTAACACTTAACTACAGCTAAAAGCTTGCAACACTGCTCGTCTCAAGCAGTCAGTTGTACAAACTTATGGTGCGGTGAACAGCATACTAAAACTAACTGATACAGGCATGTCTGTAGATATTACCTACAGTCGAGACCTGCATTCAATCTGTGGTTGTAGGGGTCTAGTAATGTAACGTACCCATCCCTCTAAAAAAGCTTCGCCGCTATTAGTTGTGAATAAACCGTTAACAAGCTACAACATAACAATAGCATAGGTTCATTTCTAACAAAAAAAAATCACACTGTAAGATACATACACCCATACAATAACACATGATTAGAAAACATACCCTTATCAAATGCAATCTTCGCGCTTTCGCATTCACATAAAGGATCAGCATAACGTGATAAGCCCCTCTAATAACCAGTTAACAAGTTACAAGAAGTTAACAAATTAAATTTATGTTCATTTGCTAACAATGAAACAGGTAACAAACATACTCGTAAATGACGTTTATTTGCCATATGTGTCAAAAGCACGAGTCTTCAGCAAGGCATCAAGAGACAAACCTATTTCCCTTGCAGTGATGAAAAGCAAAAACGGTTCGGAATAAAAAGCAGAAATGGAAACAAGAAAAGAAACCAATGAGACAAATCTAACTCTTCCTCATTCATACTAACACAAGAAGTTTAGTTATAAAAGTCTTGAGAGAACTGACAATTCATTACGAAGAAAATCTGCTTATCAATGACAGTGCACAACATTATAACATTGGACTCAATGTCTTAGATTCGAAGCATTTAGACCCGGTAAGTTAATTCCAAACATTGAATTCAGGCTTCCAAAACCATCAAATTCTGCAATTCCAAGAGAAAACCTACTTGAATATCTTAAATGCCAAAACCAAAACTGCCCTTATCCGCTGGAAGATTAGATCCCGCCATCCTCTCTCCGTATTCTCCACCACAGTCGCATTCCCATATCTGCATTACCAAACACATAAAAACCAGGCAATCAACTTTCCATCCAAGAAAACAATTCAACTCACAAACTCCAGTCCTGTTTAAGCTCCAATTCAATCAAACTCAATTTGTTTTCGAGAACAACCCATTAACCAAAAGCTTAAACAAAACCAACCTGTCTTCCTCAGGAATATTCGTATGTGTTAGCTTAACAACAGTGAGACCAGGTTCAGGTTCTTCCAGTGTAAGCCTCACCTGCAAAATTCAAACATAACACTCAATCCACAAATCACAAAACCAATTAAAACTACCCAAAAGAACACATTCAAACACGAAAAACCCGAATTTCAAATTCCACATACCGTCGAATCAATCCCATCAGGCCAGCTCCCAAATCTCCACTTCTGCATAATCAAACTCCCATTCTGCAACTCCAAATTCGAACCGGTCACCGACCCATCAAAAATACTGATCGGCCCTCCAACCTCCTTGCTTATCTTCGCATTGCTCTGCGTAAAACCCTTCCACCTATTCTCATCCATCAAAATCTCAAACATATCTTTCGCCCTGCAACTGAACTTCTCTGTCAAACTAATAGTCTTAAACCCTTTCTTGCTCTCCTTCTTCTTCGCCTCCTCTTTCTCCACAGCCACCTCCTTCTTCGCTGCCGCCGCAGCCGCCGCCGCCGTCGAATTACTCTTCGGCGCAATCTTCTTAACCTCAATTTCCTCCTTCGCAGGCCCGCCCTTAGCCATACTCTCCACATAGACCCGAACCTTTTCCAAAATCAAAGGCTTCCCCTTCGCCACCATCGCCTCCTTAATCCTCCTCCCAACCGGCCCCTCATCCTTCACCGAAATCTTAACCTCCGGGTCCTCGTCGGCGTTCTCGTCCGAAATATAAGGAATCTCCACAACTCCGTCGACCTTCAGCAGCGATTTCCCGTCGCCGTCCTTCGCCTCCCCCTCCCACGACAGATTGAGGCTGATTTCGTATCCCGGGATGATCTTCCCCTTCCGGACGTTGACGTAGGCCTCGCCGTCGACCTTGTCGACGGTCTTGGTCCTGAGGTGGAGGTTGCCTTCGCCATCGAGGATGGTGAGGTTGTTGAGGAGCTTAGCAAGGAGGTCACGTGACCAGCCAAGGCAGTCGGTCTCCGCCCAGTGCCAGTTGTGGACGTTGGCTCCGTCGGGCCTGTCCTCCACGATCCACCGCTTGTCGCCCTCGCCGTACTTCGCCATTGATTCGAATCAGGAATCACACTCAAAGTTCTAGAGAGAGAGAGTGAGGGTTTGGGATGCGGAGGGGAGAGAAAAATAGGGTGGGGGAAGGAGTCTGGAGGGTTCTTTGGGAGGACTGAGGAGTGTGGAAGGGTCCAGAATTTTGAGGGGCGGCCCAATAAAATAGGGGAATGGAAGGATTAGAAGGATCTGGAAGAAATCCTATTTGGGCCTTTTTTTTTTTAATTTGGATCCTCGCCGGATCCCCGGGTTGGGGATCCTAGAGATCAACGTATGTGGACCGTTGATAAAAAATCATGTGGTCTTAATTAAATTCTTTTTATATTTTTAAAAGTAAAGCAGCCTCGTTTTACCTGAAAAATATTAAAAAGGAAAAAATTGTAACCGCACGATTTTTTATCAACGGTTCACATGCGTTGATCCTTAGCAAGGTGATCTGGCGAGGATCCAATCCTTTTTTTTTGCAATTTCTGTGTTGTTGAAGTGATTGAACTGTCAGTTCATACCTGAACTGGTTTTTGAATCAAAAAAGGGAAAGAAAAAATAGTCACTCACAAATCATGTATTTTTTTTTTTTTAACAAACGAAATTATCTACACTAAGAGGTTAAGGGGAAGAGCCGGGGTAGGCTAAACCTCATAATAAACTAGCAATAATATGGTTCAAAATCGTTTTTGACGATAATCGACCATAAAACCTCTTACTTACAAATGAAGATGAATATCAACGTATCGTAGTACTAAATAGCGTAAATCCTATATTTAGGTCTTTCAAATTATATTGAAAGTTTAAATATTGCATACCAATGTAGAAGATCTTTAGTGTCTCTCTCGAAAGTTGTTCCAGTCACACGACATGACATATTGAGTGACAGTACAGTTCAGCCGATTGTAGTATTACTCAACACATGACATATTTAGTGATAGTCGATTGTATTAATAATCACCCGCTTTGCCACCCAGCTATTTCGATTTCGATTTCGATTTCGTTTCTCGACATTCACATTGTATGGAGGCCGTAGCAACATCAATCAGCATTGACTCGGTCATCTGACCGTATGAATTTAAAATTAAAACGGTTCATTATCTTTTTATCAACATTTAAAGGTTATTTACCAAAAAATTTATCCAGTTCGAAGACCATTTACTGTAATCCACAGGTCATCTAACAAGCAACATTATTGCAATGAACCGTCAAATGATTTGATTTACATGTACAACAAAACAATCTCCATCAAATGAATTTTTCTAAAAATCGTCTTTAGATAATGTCGAAGGGAATAAACAATCCTAATTATGACGTTTGTACGAAAAAATGATGTCAGGTCGTTATAGGAAGAAAAAAACTAATCAATGCAGAGAGCCAAACAATGCCCCTTTTTTATGCCAAAAGACCTACTACCATAACAGGCATTCAAAGAGCATTCAAAGTAGGCCGATTACAAAACCTAATAAGAAAGTTTCGACTAACTTTGTCCAACATTTTTAGTAACTGCGAACAGTGCTTGGGAGCTGCTTACTCACGTGGACAACTATAGCATAATTATTTATGCACAAGAATTCAAAATTTTCGAATTCGTTTCAACGAATTGCATATACAGTGAAGGTTTTCACAAGATTGCTAAACAATTATCACCTGATATCGCGGACACTCTGGTTCCTCTACAAATCATCATCTGATAGTATCCAAATACAATACTTGCATTGAGTTCGATTGTCCATAAACAATTAACGATGTCAAAGACAACAAAAGTTTCTAACAAGAAAGACATCAATTTATACATATGGCTAACACAAAAGATCAAATAGTGGACGAAACAAGTGAAATGGAGATGCAAAAAGTTAGCACTCGTTGTCTATCATTCAATCTAATCCAGTACTACTATACGTATATACAAAGCTCTAATGGGTCTGCTCCCAAAGCTATGAAAAAAACAACTCACCCGAAAAACAAAACTTGAAAAATATCAGCTGCGATACGAGTACACAGTCAAATTCCACACCCTGATCTAGTGATGCGATGTATCTTTAAGTCAACA